GGAATTTATAAAATGATTTTCTTAAAATTTTAACTATATTTTTTGTATTACTTCAGGAATAAAATTGATACAGTGTTGTATTTTTTATGGTTTATAAAAGGAAAAAGGGAAGATGTGAAAATTCTTAAGTATGTCCCTTTATTTAAGTATTTCTAAAATATACCATACGATTTTCGAATAGATTCAAACATTATACGTACACAGTGTAGTATTGTGTACCGAGTGTCTTTCACTGTGCTTCTCGATAATGTTCGATTACGTCTTTATCAATGACAAAAAACAATCGAATGTATTAATAATAGAAATTCCAAATTCCCATTTTTGTGCAGACAAAGACTTGAATTGATGCGAGAAATGTATCACAACGAAGCAGAATTATCTCCAACATCTCCGGATTTCAATATCGAATCTATTACCGGAGGTGATCCATTCTACGATCGTTTCCCATGGTTCCGTATGGTTGGCAGGTTCGTATGTAACTTTTTTATAAAGTGGCTATGTCTAAACTATACCTTATAAATTGTTAATAATTTCTTAAGGGGAGGATCTTATCTGTCTGATTAAAGAACAAATATTTTGATAAATTTTCTTTAAAATAATGAAGAAAGATATTGATATGGAATTGTATGAATTATTGGGTCCATAGACTAGAACCTCCTTTTAAAGTCAAACTATCAGATTTATAAAGTTCCTATTCGTTTCCATAGGTCCTTTGTGTACCTAAGCAACCTTATGTATCCCGTACCACTAATCCACAAAGTAGCGATAGTTAACGAAAAAGGTGATGTGAAAGGATACTTGCGTGTGGCTGTGCAAGCCGTTGTCGGTACGTAATCAGTGTCTATATACATGTCTTCCCCTATTATCTCTCACTTCGAGTTTATTTAATTCTAATCTTCATTTTTTCCAGTCGTTGAAAATATTTACTACTAATACTTGTGTACTAATAGCTTTACCTATGGTATTTATTGCACACTATAATTGGGGATACAAAATGTTTTATATTTTTCAAAGTAAAGATTCTGGCGTAGGATTTTCGTAACGAACCCTTGTTCCAGAAGAGGAAAACAGTGAATATTCAAGTGGCGTCAGGCAGTCAGCTAGAATTTCCTTTGAGGATGACTTGTTCCATAATCAGAAGCAGAACAAACGCAACACCCAGTTAACCCAAAACCTTGAGAAGAATCGAAATATTCTGCTGCACGAGGAACGTGTCGTAGAGGGTCACAATGAACAGAAGGAAGTGAAAGATGAAGATGATATCGGCGATGCAGATAGTGGTAGAGGAGATAGCTCAGTATCCAGTGACATGAAAGAAGAAGATCTACCAGATCACCTGCTACTCGGTTCTGAATTCACATTCAGAGTTACTGTGTTACAGGCAATGGGTATTTCTACCGAATATGCTGACATTTTCTGCCAATTCAAGTATGTTTAAATTTCTAACAGCATACAAAAATAAAAGATAAGAAACTAATAATAGTTAGTTGATAAATAATCATGGTATATTGCATGTAGTTTCCTACATCGACACGATGAAGCATTTTCAACAGAACCAGTCAAAAATACAGGAAAGGGAAATCCCCCTGGATTTTATCATGTGCAAAATGTAAGTTAAATTTATATTCAGCGATATTTATGTAAGATTGACTTCGATTATGAAATTATTTGTATTTTCTTCTTTAATACCGTTCATTTAGATTACAGTTATGGTAACAAAATCATTCTTGGAATATCTAAAAACTCAGCCAATTGTTTTCGAAGTTTTTGGACATTACCAGCAGCATCCTCTACATAAAGATGCCAAACTAGAATAGTGAGCATTAAATAAGTTGTATTAAATATATTAATTCAACAAAATATTATCGTACGAATCTCATATTTTTTAAAATCATAAAAAATCTTATTTGTATTTTATTCTATAGCGTGAGACAACCACCGAAAAGAATGCTTCCGCCATCTATACCGATCAGTCAACCTGTACGTTCACCGAAATTCGGCAGTGTTTTACCATCACCTAGTACATCGCACGTACATGCGAAATATGACGTATTAGTATGGTTTGAGATTTGCGAACTAGCACCGAACGGTGAATATGTGCCGTCCGTGGTTGATCACAGTGATGATTTACCATGTCGTGGATTGTTCTTACTCCACCAGGGAATTCAGCGACGTATTCGAATTACCATTGTTCACGAACCAGCATCTGAACTGCGATGGAAAGATGTGAGAGAGTTAGTTGTTGGACGAATCAGAAACACTCCAGAGCCAGAGGAAGAAGACAATGATTCATCGGTGCTCTCGTTAGGTCTTTTCCCTGGCGAGTATCTAGAAGTACCCGGTGATGATAGATGCATGTTCAGATTCGAAGCAGCGTGGGACAGCTCCCTTCATAATTCGGCCTTGCTCAATAGAGTTACCGCATACGGAGAACAAATCTTCATGACCATCTCTGCGTACCTCGAGGTACATTTATCCTTCATCCGAATGCATTTGACATGTGCTGTAAATTCAATAAACACTAACAACTTCATAAGAAGATTCGTTCTCTGATTTATTATTATTATAATTTCTTGTAGTTGGAAAATTGTGGAAGACCAGCGATCATCACAAAAGACTTGAGCATGATTATTTATGGTAGAGACGCCAGGGTAGGACCACGTTCTTTGAAGCATCTCTTCAGTGGAAGTTACCGCAATCAGGAAGCGAATAGGCTCAGTGGTGTATACGAGCTGGTTCTGCGTCGTTCTTCGGAAGCAGGTAGCCCAGGTTTGTCTTGCTACCCTTAGCGTAGACCCCTCTTGATCCCTTCTCTCCTTATCGATATAATAGTCGCACAACATTTAAATTTGTAGATTATAATTTATTTCAAAGATTCTATATTACACAATTACTAAAGAATTGATCATGATACTTGCGATGACTATTATATCATGTTATTAACGAATTGGCGGTTTTCTTTGTTATGTTTCATCCTTATTAAATTTATTTTTTCGAAAAGTAAAAAAGACAAATTTTAAACTCAATCAAAACAAGACATATTTATATATTCTTTCTAATACTTCGCTTTCTTCACTAAATACATATGCCTTCTTTGCAATTATTTTTTAGGTGTTCAAAGGCGACAACGTCGCGTATTAGACACTAGCTCTACGTACGTTAGGGGAGAAGAAAATCTTCACGGATGGCGACCTCGAGGAGACAGTTTAATATTCGATCATCAATGGGAATTGGAAAAATTGACAAGATTAGAGGAAGTGGAGAGAGTTAGACACACATTGTTGCTTCGAGAAAAACTTGGCATCGACAAAATATCATTCTGTAATAAAATGTCGCACGATTTCACAAAAAGCGAAAAGGTAAAGTTATCTATTTAGTTAAAGATCAAGCAAACGGAATACATTTTTTATTTATACGATATAGGAGGTTTGCAACATGATGGCAAAAGCAACGAACGAAACACATGCTAGTCCAGTGAAATTGAAACGTTCAACGAGTAAAGACGTATATGAGCCTTGGGAGATGACTGAGAGGGAAAAGGAATTGGCCACGAAATATATCAAACTCATCCAAGGTCGAATTCCAAGCAAAGAACCCATTCTGATGTCCGATGTTTCACCTGGAGAAGACACTATGACTGATATGTCGACATCCATGATGTCTTCGGTGATATCGTCCTCGTCTCAAGAGTCAGTATACGAGAGAGCTAGTGATTACTTAGAGCAGGTAACCCTCCCCGCATGCCTGAGTGCTCCTGCTAGTAGCGGTTGTCCACGCTTCGTCGCATCATCGTATTTTTACCTTGATGACAAAAATAGATATTTGTCTCTCGAGATTCAAAGAAAAACGATACTCTCTTTCTTCATTCACATCAAGCTACATAGCGTACAATTTAATGCTAGTAAATTAAAAATGCTAAATTAAGAATTGCATACCAGTAGTTCCAAACAAAAAAAAATTTAAATGTATGTCCTAATAGTGACGAGTGAAGATAGCGAGAATTCGATTCAATTTGAAGGTCGAATTGTTTCTTCCATATATGAGCTTGCAGCAATCTCAATTTAATTCTTGACTTAAATCGAAATTCAATTTACGTTCGCTTTTGAGAACGATCAACAATCGTTTGTCACGCAAGTTTGGAGTAGCTTTGCTGAGTGAAAGTCGCGCTTTTAGCGCAGTCAGCTTTTAAGAATTGCTTTCTGTCTACTTTGAAACATATTGGTAGACGACGACTTGAGACTTTTGAGTCAAAGACAACCGCCAGTACAATTGGACACACGGTCAGGGTGATGCTGGAGTGTTACTTGCAGGCTGCTGGTATAATAGTATGGAGCAGGTCTAAGTCGTGCATCCTTAGGTTAAGTTCACCGGAAAGGGCTAGACTGCAGGAACTGCAGGAGAGCATATTAGCCAGCGAGTCCACTAATCAACCATGTAATATCGCGCCAGCTCCATTAGGCTCATCTTCTCCTTCAAAGGATAATTTGGTACTCTATGTGCCGGAAGTCGAAGAAATTCGCATCAGTCCGGTTATCGCCAGAAAAGGATACCTGAATGTTCTCGAACACAAGACAAATGGTTGGAAGAAACGCTGGGTGGTATGTATATCATGAATAAATTGTATATCTGTTTCTTTTTAGAATTGATCGATATTAAGAACATCGTTGTTCGTTAGGCTGTGCGACGACCATATGTTCTAATCTTTCGAGAAGAGAAGGACCCAGTGGAAAGAGCTCTCATTAATTTAGCTACTGCTCAAGTTGAATATTCCGAAGATCAATTAGCTATGGTGAAAGTACCAAATACTTTCAGGTAAATTATCGAATATCAATTACTTGTGGATATAACTTATGCCAGGTAAAAAAAGGACAAATCGATATTCTCCTTTTTTACAGCGTCGTTACAAAACATCGGGGATATTTGTTGCAAACTTTAGGAGACAAGGAAGTTTATGACTGGTTGTACGCTATTAATCCTCTTCTTGCTGGTCAAATCAGGTAAGTTTGTATATATATTATATCACATATTTAAAATTGTTTGTCAATTTGTACCACAACATAAAATTGAAAAAAATTTGTTCACGGAAAGGAAATGTTAATAAGGTATGTTCCACGATTGTTACAGATCTAAATTAGCGCGCAAAGGACCGACAGCTACAATTTTGAATAGCGCTTCACCCGTTGGTCTGATTCCGTCAACAGATCAACAATCGAACCAAAACAAGTGAGTGGCCGACACGTTGGCCGAGGTGACGAGTGTCATTGCGGAAGCCTCCGAAAAGATGCTCTGCTGGTCACACTCGGCCTTCGAGTCCCATGATCTCTGTAGCTTTCGATTTTCGGTAGTCTTCGATTATTAAAGCGTTCCGAAAATGCGTACCAACATCGATGGACTACCAGCTTCGATAGCCGCCGATTAATATCTCGTGACATCTGATTTAACTACTCGTCAGCCATTTTACTTCTGGCGACCGAATAGAGAAATAAAAAATGAAAAGACACACGAAGGCATGTTTGTCTTTTGACAAAGCAAGCAAAAAAAAATAATGATTATACATGTTCGAATAACATGGAAATTATTACTTTTGAAATCCCAAATCTTTTTATAGTCTCTCCGTTCATTTTGAAATACGATCAAAATGTACATAACGTCGATGAGACTTCGCACAAGCTTGCGATAATTATCTTACAATATATTCGAATTTCTCGATATTAGTCGGTCGTACGAAGCAATTCTCTTTTAAGCGTGGAACGCATACAATGATGAGTAACGTATTTATGCCTAAATAAAACATTCCTAAGACGATCATAGAAAACGAGGCAAAAGATACACATTGTAGGTATTACTCATTAAAGAGAAGATGTGGCGCGAGAGGTAGCAAGCAAGAGAGGGAGAGAACGAGAAAAAAGGAAAAGGCGATGTAGCGAGATTACGAATTTCTGAGTGTTCATGTTTGAGAGAAAGAGAGCGAGAAAGAGAGAGAGAAAGAGAGAGAGAGAAACAGAGAAAAATAGAGTGAAAGTGAAAAGTAGAGAGGGAAACAAAGAGAGAGAAGAAAAGAGATTCTACACCCAGGAAGGGTACGGATTATTTCGAACGAATTTTAAACGGTAATCGTTAAATTATTCATTGTTAGTAATTCATTTATATAATTATGTTTGTCCATTATGACCGTTATCGAAATAATCCCTTTTCCTCTTGTTTAGTGTTGATATATACATTCTACGTCTCGAGTAACAAATACTTGAATGAAAGTAGGATATCGAGACCATAACGAGTTTCGCAAACTCAAATTTTTCTTACTGTATAGATCAGTATTCGAGTATAAGAATCGAGGGAAACGTTTTTCTGTCTCAGTAGAGAAAGTTCTTAATAGCGATAACACGAATTATTTACAGTATTATTTAGAAAAAATGACAAGTTAGATATTTTTTTAATTCAGTACAAATATCCATTAGAATTTTTATTAGGTGTTTTGTCAGTGTTAATTGCCAACATAATTCCAATTATCATTTCAATTTTTCGCAATTGATTTTGACTCTGTTCTAATTTTTCTATTATCTAACCATAATCCCAGAAAAACGATTACCAGCATGTTCCGTTGAATTGCAAATAAAGTAGAAAACTTATAAACCTGAAAGCGGATTATTTTCTCAGTCGTTTGTACACGGCGGCCTACACAAAGTTGCGCCCCGTCTCTGTTACTTACTAACTGTTTTTACTTACTAACTGTTGTAGAGTCTGATAGTTTTATTTTGTTAACGACGATATACGTATTATTGAAAAACAAGAAATCGTATTTCGATAAGTTATACGCACTCGGCGCTTTTAACCCTTTGAAGCAAAGATTTATATAAAGCGAACCGATAATGAACATTTATTGTTTCCATTCTGAATACATGAATTTTACTACTTAGTACATATTTATATAATGAATTTAATTGTTCGTATTAATTTATGTTACATTTTTGTAACTGTACGTATTTGTATACATTTAATTATCATTTCCACGTATTCACGTATATTTCGTAATCACAAATTCTTATATAAATAATTGCAAAATAGCTCGAAATACAACGGTTATTAGTATTACATTATTAGGGGTGATGATTAAGTTTGATTCTCTATTTAATGCAAAAAAGATATGATTACATTATACAATTATCACTGTTAACGATGAAGTAAACGGGTTGATGGACAATACTATCGCAATGAAATTAATCAGTGTTTGAATATGTTTTGTTTCAAAACGCCCCTAAAAATAATTGCAATTAAATTTAATTATTTTTCGATTCTATTTTATGGAAAAGAAAAATATTTAATTTGACAATTTTGAGTGTCATTAATTTATACAAAATGAATAATTTTTTATTCTTCCTAGTATAACAAAATGAATATAATATTAGTTAATTTTTTAAATTAAATGACCTTCCATCCTGTAAAACATCCAAAAAATAATATGCAATATTGAAGTTTGTTAGTAGTAGCTTTGTTTTTTATAAAAAAATTGCAGTTAATTTATTAGATTATTATTTATGTCTAATAATATATTAAAGAGATTCTAAACTCTGTTAAAAATGGAAGTGGTAGAATCCATGTAACATAAATATAAAAGATAAAATGTAATATTCTAAGTAACTTTCTACTAAAATATAACATTCGTAATATTAACTCTTGAAAGCAGGTACTCACATTAAAAATCTGAACTGAAGGATGCAAGAGGTGGTACTCTCTATGTATTGCTATTTTCTAAGATGTTTATTATATATCTACAGAATAACTGTACTTTAACAGACCTAGGATTAAAATAAAAATTTATGAAATGCGCTTTTACACACCAAAACAAAAGTAATCCATGCATAATTAAGATGTTCATTCACTTTTTTTTAATATATAAGGAAAAATCTATGAACTGTACGAGGGCATAATACTTATATGTACGCATAATATATTTATGAATATTACAGTACGTAGCATTTATATTTTAATCGTGTTATTTATGCATAATTTATTTGTTATACTATATACAACAAACTATGCATATAAGTAAAACGAAGCAAAAAATATATTGCTTCAGGGGGTTAAAGTCATAATTTATTAATACGTAAAGAAAATGAAATCGAATATTAAGCACGAAGGTGACGAATTCAAAAAAAATAGGAGACGAAAGTAAGCAGAAAAAATATGATAAGTGCGTTACAAATAAAAATGCAGTAACGCCGTCGATAAGGTTAATAATCATTGTTGTTATTAGAAGTCAAAATACGGAATTAAAGAAAGACAAGAACGAAAGAGAAAGAGGAATTAAAAGGGAGAAAATGAAGAAGCACGTGTGCGCGAAAGGGGGGAACGAGAGAGAGAGAGAGAGAGAGAGAGAGAGAGAGAGAGA